GACAAGGACAAAGTTGTAGTTGTTGCCTATGTTGTGTGCGGTTGAGGGAAAGGGGGGGGGAAGGGGATTTAGTAATTATATTTATGATGTATGTGTTGGAGGGAAATGTGGGGTGGATAGTATATTTATATTTTCATTGAGGAAAAGGTCGGGCGGGATAGTACTTAACGTTGTGATTGAAGGAAATATGGGAGAGGATGGGGCATACTTTACGTTGTGACTGAGGGAAATATGGGACGGGATAAGGTATACTTTACGTAGTGGTTGGAAAGATGGGTCGGGGTAGGGCATACTACGATAGGTCATAAACTTTGTCTAAACAGGCGGAAACTGCTCACACACTTTTTATATGACACACTCAGGCCGCCATACTTTCGAATGTCGGTGCAGTACGTTCAAAGACGATGTTGGAAATCCGCCCAAGCTGAACAAAGAAGAAACCAAAAGATTATTACGGCAGGCTAGAATTGTACACCTTGGCTTTCATTGGCTTGGTCCTCAGGATGTCAAAGCCTTTGTGTGTTCCACCTAACAGATCCGGGGGCGATGCTCCAAGTGTCAAAGCACAGAACGTTATTCTAGGCTCTTCTCAGATACAAAATCTCTTATTATGAGTTTTGACAACCGGACAGGTAAAAAAAGCCCACAAAAAACGAAAACAAAACAGGACCTTTTTCACTACTTGTCATAAACTGCACTTCAGCTTTCGCAAGTGGCGCACAACCCTTGCACAATGTAGATATTTTTACTGTCATTATATTCTCTTCGATAAACAAAGTGGAGAGAAAAGAATGGAGACGAGTTTTCATGGACTTGGGAAAGAAATGAAAGGGGGGAAAGGAGGGGGGGGGGGATGAATGCTGTTTTATGTATCACCTCCACAAGAATTTCCACTTTTTCATGTCGTTATCATTCCAAAGGTACCATTTCAAAGCGACCGCTTCTAGCTTGTTTTCTGGGGTTTTTTTCTGGTGATGTGATGAAAAAAAAAGGTAAAAGTAGAGTACACCCTCTCCCTTATGCCTTTGCGCACGTCGACAATTATAACCAGCTGTTTTCTGTTCCCATAAAAAAATTAAATAGTGCCTCGCTTTGATCCTTACGGCCACCCTGGGTTTGCATACTAGGAGCAGTTGTTTCCGAATAAGGCGGCCCAACGTTACTCTTCTCAACTAAACTTTATTTTCTGTTACGGCAATTCATAGACGACTCCACCTTTTCCGACTCTTGTGTTTTTACTGAAAAGATGAACAAGGTTTATACCTCTGAGTTGACCAACCAGATGACATGAAAAAAGAAACCCAAACAAAAAACTTTTCTGGACACATAAGTCTATATGATTAGCTAAAATGTGTCAAGCACGTATTACCATGTTGATTGGGAGAAATAGACTTGATACCTGTGATGTGTGGGGGAAAATGAAATAATGTCTTCTTTGATATTCCTTCTCCAAGCTGCAAATATGAGAGTTTAACGGTAGGCCTCGTAGAAGATGGATGGGAGGAGACAAGGAACCTCAATCTCAATCGAAAGAGCCGCAGAATTGGCCTACCATAGAAAACTGCATCTCCCCTCCACATTCAATGGTAACATAGGGTGGAAAGGTGAAAATAAAACTAAAGTAAAGCTAATCGTTTTGTTTTAAAAACCAAATCTTGTCGTTTTCGTTCATTCAAAACCATACATATTTTTACAGTATATAAGATACAGATACATCCAGTCTAACCTGCTCTAACGGCCACCTGCCTCAGACAATCACCTGTACAACTGATCTCTTTCCACTCCATTTTCTTCGCAGCCATTTACTACCTTCCTTACTTTACTTTTACTTTTTCATCCTCTGTTGCCGTTAAACGTCGAGGGGAGATGAAGTTTTCTATGGTAGGCAAGCCACGCAGCTCTTTCGGTTGTGATGTTATGTTTTCTTAGGGTTTCCTTGACACCCTTGATCCACCTTTTGCGTGGCCTTCCTCTTCCTTTTTAGCCTGAGTGCTTGGTGTGTTTTACTACATAATTTATAATAATGATATATCATGATGACACTGTCCAAGACACCCACCTGTCTAAGACAACCAGTTATTTCCCCCACCCCAACAAGTGAGTGTCTTTGACAACTTTGATCGTAGTTACTATTTTAAACCTAGATTACCCTAACTACATAATGTGTCTTATCAACGGAAGCGTACCCCTGTAATAGAAGTATAGGTGTCGCCCTTCAACCTCTGTCGGTCACATGACCATGGAGAGAGAGACACAGAGAGAGAGAGAGAGAGAGAGAGAGAGAGAGAGAGAGAGAGAGAGAGAGAGAGAGAGAGAGAGAGAGAGAGAGGGAAAGAGAGAGGGGGGTGGGGAGGAGGGAAGAGAAAGAAGGGAAAGAGAAGGAAGAGAGGGAAGAGAGGGAAGAGAGAGAGATGAGGGAGAGAGAGGGGGCAAGAGAGAGAGTGAGAGAGATGGGGAAGAGAGAGGGGTGAGAGAGAAAGGAGAGAGAGAGAGAGAGAGAGAGAGAGAGAGAGAGAGAGAGAGAGAGACTAGCTACTCACAACGGCGTCTGTGGTGCAATGGTTAGGCGCTTCCCTATCGCACGCAGGAGATCCGAGTTCTATTCCCGAAAGAAAATTTTATCGAGTAACTATATCTTTGACACCTAGTTTACTACATTCTGTCTTGTTTATTTAATTTTTTTTTACCTTGCATAATAACGTGATTAATTGGCAAACATTAAGAAGGCCTTTCAACTTCTTTTGGTTTTTTGAAGCGGAACCTCCAATGTCATTTATTTGGACCAAGCTCAGCAGTTGAAGAAGAAGAAAACTCTTTACACAAAGTGTTCTCTCGAATGGCACGTTGGAGATTCAAACCTGGGCCGCCAGCACAGGACCCCATCACGAGACAGCATAACGCCAACGACGATTCCCAGAAGGGAAAAAGACTCACATGAAAATTGAATCAGAAAGCAGCAGACACTTAGATGTGTTTTAGTAAGACGATTACGGCACTTGTAACACAGATAGTTCATGATATTACGGCTGAATATCATAGGTATCACAAGCGAAAAACATACAAAGCAAAGGAAGGGAGATAAGGACGAAAGATGTTGTTTAGTAGGAAATCAGGAGCAAACCACACCAGAGCACCCGCCAACCACACACCCGGCCTACTCTGAAGAAGATCGCTGTACCCACGAGCCCTACTGCACCTTTAACCCCTTCTCAGCCTGCCTCGCCCCAGACCCTGTAAAATCTATGGTGGGAATATATAGCAAGTTTGGCAGTGAAGGATTTGAACCGTAGTAGGCAGCCAGATTTTTTGTACATCAAACTTCGCCAAGAAATTCTCACGCCAATTATCTTTGAACCGCGGCATGAGACCTGTTCGATCGCTTTAAGCGAGAGCTGCCAACATGAGCTCAAAGAGAAAGGGGCGGGCTTGGGTTGGAAGGGGTGGGGCGGGGTTGGGTGGGTGGGAGCAGTGAACCGCGAGGCTCAACACTGGGTCTTCTCACGAGGGCTGGGAATATGATTATTTCTTACAAAATGAGCGCCAGGAAAATAGGGCGTGTGCGTAATTTTTTAAAATGTTTTTTTATTATTATTTTTTAAAAATAGCTTTCCTCGCTCAGCTGTGCAAGACAAACAGCAGAAGAAGAGTACACCCTTGGCTAGGAAGTCGGTAAAACCGGGATTTTTCCTTCTCGGCGCAGCCAGACGAACGCTGTTGTGAGTTTAGGGAAATCTTTTTGTTTTATTTCCAAGAGCGCTGCGTCTTTGAGCTTGCGAGTTTTTAGCAAAGTAAAGTATTTATATTTATTAACTTTTAAGTCTTCATATTTTTTTTATTTTGGCCAGTAGGGTTAGATCTTCTCAAGAGGTTGGTCCTCTTAATACATCCAAAGTCTGTCTTCCGATACAACAGAGTCAATAATGTAGAGATCAAAACATAATATAGCTTTCACACTATCCAAGTTTACAGTGTCCAGAGAGGGATTCGAACCAGAACTGTCGCACTTCTTACAGCGATGTCGAGTTCTCTAAGACCTATTAACTCAGCCTTTTACCATTCTCTGGGTGCCCAACAATGCAGTGGGTGTGGTAATGAGGGAGAACCACGGGTGAAAGCACTCACTGTATTTTTGTGTCCGATGAAGGGTCAGTAAATATATTTTGCAAAGTGGTGGTGGCGTTGTGTTGCCTCTGTTGTTGTTGATGTTGTTGTTGTTGTTGTTGTTGTTGTTGTTGTTGTTGTTGTTATTGTTGTGTTGTTATTGTTGTTGTTATTGGTTTTCTTGCTGTTGCTGTTGGTGGCATTATTATTGTTGTTGTCATTGTCGCCGTCGTCGTCGTCATCGTCGTCGTCGTCGTTGTTGTTGTTGTTGTTGTTGTTGTTGTTGTTGTTGTCGTCGTCGTTGTTGTTGTTGTTGTTGTTGTTGTTGTTTGTTTTTTGTTGTTGTTTTTCCTGTTGTTGTTGTTGCTGCTGATGCTGCTGTTGTTATTGTATATTAATAATTATTTCCCCGGCACACCATAGAATATTTCAAAAGACTCTTGGCTTCTCCGGAAGCTAACAGTTCAGCTGTTTAACTGTTTGTTTATGTGGGGTTTTGGTTACGATATGAGTGGTATAACAATAGTATGGTCGGAAAGGAAGAACAAGCATTTGGAGAAGACACCATGTTGAACTTAAGCATGTTAACACTAGACGACTTTACAACAAACATGTTAAAAACTCGTTATAAAATCAAGGCAACAACTGACGCGTTGTTTTTTTCTCAGATTTATAAGGTTAGCATAGGTACATGTACAATAAAGTAGGAAAAGAAAGAGGTTGATAAAACAGGCGCACACAGTCAGTCCATTCGATTCAACAGCTCTCTCATACGCACAGATATTCCATTCATTCTATTTTTTTTGCAACACAGAAGATTCATGTCATGTCTCGATCAGTCTCTACAGTCACTTGCAGTCGTACAGAACAGGGATAAATTATTGAGAAGTCGTGTCAGCCTTCTATCGAGAGGGATACAAGACTAAAGAAGCAAAATCTTACTTTCATATTTTCCACACAAGTGCTCAGTTGTGCAAATTATCAATTCCAAAACAGATGGCAACGACCCAAAATGAGAACTGCGAGTATGTTTCGGATGATTGGTGTGTGTTTTTGTGAACGTTAAAGGAGAAAATATGAAAGATAAGATAAAACCGGGAAAGTTAGTGCCAAATCGATTTATCGTGACCATTTTTTTCTTTCTTCCTTTCTGGCCAAGAGATTCTTTGTTGAGGGTCGTGGTCACATGAAAACAAATTGAACCAAAGTTCGTTGAACGTCGTCAAGTACTTGGTAGTACCATCATCAGTGTCAGGAAGGGTGGCTTCTTTTTGGATTTGTTTTAATACTGAGCAAGACTAAAAAGTCACCGTTATAGACGTGAGGAATGTGGTGTCTAGAGCAGTTCCTGTGAAATCTAGTTGGGTATCATGTCCACACGCTGTTGATATTGTTGCTGTTGTTTTTAGTTGTTTTTAATGTGGTTGTTGTTTTCGTCGTCGTCGTTGTTGTTGTTGTTGTTGTTGTTGTTGTTGCTGTTTGTTTAGTACAGACGGTAGCAGTTCTGGAAACAGGTGTTGAAGGTGTCGATACACAGATTGGCCTCGGCGCTTGTCGTGTAGTTCCTGTAGCAGTCGGAGAAGGGGCCGTGACAGGCGTACATGCAGCGGTCCAGGGGGAGTGGGACCCTCCGCCTCTTGGGAACATCCTGTGCCAGACTGCAGGCGAACAGGCTCAGGGTGATCACCATGACGCAGAGCAGGACCAGGAGGGAAGAGCGAGAGGAAGCGCCGGAGCGGCCTTTAGATCCGTTCATGTTTTCAGAAGCCCTGAAACAGACATGGAGAAGAGTAGCATTAGAAACAATATCTGCTTGTGATTGACAGTGGATTATGTGTCATGACGCAGTGGAATCAGACACTCATCGGGTTGGGGCATATGGAGTTGCTGGTATCATCTAAAAGGTCGTTGATTTGTTGTGCTTTTGATGTAAAAAAAATGTCTAACTATTTTGAACAGCAGTCGAGATATAAATTTGCCATTGAAGGAGGTGGGGGTTGCAAGTTATCAGAGGTAAAATTATCGAGGAAATGGCTGCCAAAGTTTAGTGACTTCCAAAGTTTGTGTGTCTTTAGAAACTACAAACTTACATCCATGTGCTTTTTATCTATGTTTATCAGTAAACATCCAAAAAGAAATCTGCTTTAGAATTGACATGGGTGTTAGGCCAAAAATATATTCAATTAAAAAAGCTCAATCACGCTGTCTTTGATTTCATAATTTTGACGAACGTCTGATTTCACTACGATGCCACAGTAATGCCCCCCCCCCCTTTACACACACACACACACACACACACACACACACACACACACACACACACACACACACACACACACACACACACAAACAAAACTTGGACACTGACTGTTACAGACGATACAGCTTGTGTTGGATTTTTCTACATCCTATAACAAAATCAGAGTTTTCCTTCAAATACAACAGAAACAACCAATACTGCTGAGTGGCACTAAATAGAGAGCACAAAACGCAACAACAGCAAGCAATGACACACTTAACCCAAAGGTTTCTGCAACAAAAGGGACTTTGTCATGAAGTGACCGTCCATAGACGTATTCAAGTTCAAGATGCTTTACCTTTCGACCTGGTAATTTTCTGCTGTCTAATACTTTCTGATCCATGACGTGATATACGTGAATGTAAGTAGAGGTATGCAAGTCGCCTGTAGTGCTAATAATGAATCCTCATCATCTGCGACAGATATCGGCGATCATGGACCACCACTCATTCCTCTGCTCGGACGCTTTCACAAAAAGCACATACTACATTAGATTCGGGTTTTTCAAATGCATCTCCAGACTTGTTTCTTATGTTTCAGTTTGTATCTCTTCTCATGGAGCTTCAAGATTCAAAGCATTACCGAGTCTGTCCCTTGTGTCGTGTTAGAGTGTGACTTCTTGTTGATAATACTTCAACATCAGAAATCAGAATTCTTCGAGACAACCGGTTTACATGGCCAAAATAGAGACTTTCTAATTTTGAATCCGTACAGGTTCCGAGTTTTGCTGACCCTTCCTGGAAAACTTTTCATTCAAGCCAAGGCCTGATTATAAAATCGAGAATTCTGTTGAGATCAACGATGGAGAACAGATTCTTTAAATTTGAAATATTTTCTTCGGGTGTCTCCAAAGTCCGTACGTTCTATTAAAATGGGCCGAATTGTAAAGTTGGTATCGCATCCGACACAAAATGGTTTTCCCTCTCCCTACTGGAGTTACCCATGTTGCAAGGAGGTGTGGCCAACACGTACCTTGGTAAAAGTAACTTTGTCTCTTTTGGAGAGACTCGATAGTTTTCGCGGATCCAACTTGAGAATAACACTGTGGAGTTTATTGCTCACTTGTTCGTTCCATTGTTCCTCGGATCCCACTGACTGTTTTCTTTTCATCAAAAGTTTATATTTATAACTGGCTTGGAGGAGGTGTCTAGAATCGAGTTAGGTTTGGAATGTTTGATCCTTTTATTTCACCTTGCTTAACAAATCAATTCTATTACAGGCCTTATTTATGTCGTAACATTCTTTTTTTAAAAGTCAATAAGAGAGGTCAGGGCAAGTGCATGATTTTGGCTGAGTTTGCTGGGGAGGGGAGG